TTAAAAATGTAATTATTCTTCATTTTATATTAATATTATTTTATTTTATGGATAATAAACAATATGTGTATTATAATATATACAATGTAAACAATGTTATATATGCAATAGAGGTTAATAGACATCAATATATATTGTATAATTTAGGTAATGTATTTATCAATTTTTTAATTATAATATAAATGCATTTATGCCTACTTAGAAAATTAATAAAAAATATCCAATTTAGGAAATGTGTACATTATCTTAATTACATATTTTTTTATTATTTGCTATATAAAAAATATAAGAATATCACAAAAGTAAAATAAAAAAATCAAGTGATTTTAAAAATACTAAACTAAATAATCACAAAAGTAAAATCACAAAATCTTAAAGCAAATAAAAATCTTGAAGTAAATAAAAATGCACATGTTGATTAATTAATTAAGTGATTTTAAAATACTTTTAAAAATCAGAAAATCCTAAATAAAATATAAATATTTTTAAAAATTACAAAAGAAAAATAAAAAATCCTACTGTCAAAAATCACAAAATCTTAAAGTAAAAAAAATGCACAGGTTCATAATTTAAATTATTGTGAAATCCAAAGAAAAATAATCAATTATGATGGGAAAATGCTTGTTATGATTTAATCTTTATATTTTTCACACTTACCTGAAATCCTTAATAACTTTAATCAATTTATACCCAACTATAATATCACGCGGACACAATAAACACAATAGAAAAATAAATACAATACAAACACAACCCGATTGCAGCAATGTAATAAGGTTATGTTTTTGTCGAATTTTGAATTTAAATGCAATATAATAAATTATAATTTATATATATAGATATATAAATCAGTTAAAGCATGTCGTTTTAATTTAACTTACCTAGTGAAACAATGCAAATTGCAATTTTACGTTATTTCATTATTATTGATTGTATAGTTTGTGTAAATATAGTTCTTTGTTAGTCCTTTAATATATTTTTATTTTTCTTTACTTTTTTTGTACTATACAATTGGACCAGATATTTTTTTCAGGTAGGTTATACCAGGACCCCATAATAGGATACTTGTTAGCCTTATATGGGGCAGACACAGAATTTTTAAATTATTTTTAAGAATTTTTTTATCTAATATTATCTTGCTTGCATATTAAACAATCAACGTTGCCAAACTAAAAAGTAAACAAAACCAAATAAAGAAAATAATTATAAAAATTAAAATGGTACCCCATATACCGCCATTACATATAAAACTGGGGATCATGAAAGTTTGTTAAATCACTCGATAAAATTTTTGACGGACCCCCAATTAGACAACTTACAAAAGATACTTAATTTAGGAATTCTATGACTGAGCTTAAATTAAAGGCTTGGAAATATTTTGTCTTTGTGATGCAAAACTGGGAAATAAAAAATCAGATAATTCTTTTAAAATTAAAAAATATGGTCTGATTATTGCTGAGAAGAGCTTTAATGCGAAGTTTTTAGAACTCAATGATTAATTTAATTGTTTAATACATTTTTTCTTAGTAAATACATGTTTTATTCTGTTTTAATCGTAGATATCCGAAGAATAGGTTAGTAGAAATAAAAGTCCAGGGTTAATACATAATTTTTATTTTTAACATATTTAGATATATTGTAAGTAAGTCTTTTGTGTGAAAGAGTTGAACCTACACCTTGCTAAAGTTTTTTGTTTTGAGTGCGTTCCACCAACATCAAATACCGACAGACAGTGTCGGGCAACTTTGTGTAGTGGAACACGTACAAAACAAAGGACGATCTGAGCTTACACCGCGTTGTTTCATTTTACAAGAGATCGCCATGTTGGTTTTTAACATGTTTTTTAATATTTCCACTGTTTTTGAACTCTTTTGGGCAATGCGGGCATCTGTAACGAAAGCCGCCGTGTTTATTTTGAATGTGTGCGATTCTCTCTTGTATGGTTGAGAATAGTTGGTCGCAAAGCCGACATTTGTATTAATTGCTTTCTAGCTTGTGTGCCGTCTTTAAATGCCTATCTAGGTTGCTCTTATCGGTAAAGTTCTTGTCGCAACGTGGGCATTCGAACGTTTTCTTTTCCGAGGGATCGCCATGTTTGTTTTTAACATGAGATTTCACGCTTCCACTTTGTGTGAAATCTTTCGGGCAATGCGGGCATTTGTAACGATGGTCGCCGTGTTTATTTTCAATATGCGCCACTCTACTTTCCTTAGTCGAGAATATTTCGTCGCAAAGCGAACATTTGAATTTTTTTCTTTGAACGCCGTGTTTGTGTTTCACGTGAGATTTTACGCAATCTCTTCTATTGAACTCTTTCGGGCACTGAGGACAACGGTATTTAACCGCCGAGTGGTGACTTTTTACGTGTCTGTACCTACTATTTCTATTGTAAAACGCTTTGTCGCATTGTGGACATTTGTGTTTATTCCTTTGCAAGGGATCGCCGTGTTTGCTTTCAATGTGGTAATAAAAAGAACTACTGCTTGTGACAGCTTTGTCGCAATGCGGACATTCGTACATTTTTTTTTGCGAGCCATCGCCATGCACGGTCTTAACGTGGTGTTTCATCTGATCCCTTCTTTTTGGCAATGCGGACAACGGTGTTTAACGTACACCGAGTGCTGAATTTTAATGTGCCTGTTCTTACTAGCTAGATTGGTAAACGTTGTGTCGCATTCCTTGCGAGGGATCGCCGTGTTTAAAGTGGATGTGTTCTTTTAAATTAAGTTTAAATAAGAAAGCTTGCGGGCAATGCGGACATCTTTATATACATTGTATATATATATATTATACAACCGCTGTGTTTTACTTTGATATGCTCTATGATACCGTTTTTGTGAAATAGTTTTTTTTCGCAATGCGGGCATTTGAATTTTTTTCTTTTCAACGGATCGCCGTGTTGGTTTTTAACGTGCCGAATTAAACGACTATTTTTTGTTAAAGTTTTTAGGCAGTATTTAACTCTTTTCGAAGGATCGCCGTGTTGAATTTTAACGTGACGTTTTAAAGAAGCACTTGTCGGAAATTCTTTTGGGCAATGCGGATATTTTAATTTAATTTGTGCGTCGCCATAATGGCTTTGCACGTGTTTCGTTAAACCATCACTTCTATACTAATATAGAAATATTATAAGAAGTATTATATTTTTCACAACAGGTATTAGATTTTTCCCTCAGTATACACATACGAGAAGGGCCTTAAATCGAAGTTTTTAGAACTCAATGATTAACTTAATTGTTTAATACATTTTTTCTTAGTAAATACATGTTTTATTCTGTTTTAATCGTAGATATCCGAAGAATAGGTTAGTAGAAATAAAAGTCCAGGGTTAATACATAATTTTTATTTTTAACATATTTAGATATATTGTAAGTAAGTCTTTTGTGTGAAAGAATTGAACCTACACCTTGCCAAAGTTTTTTGTTTTGAGTGCGTTCCACCAACATCAAATACCGACAGACAGTGTCGGGCAACTTTGTGTAGTGGAACACGTACAAAACAAAAGACGATCTGAGCTTACACCGCGTTGTTTCATTTTACAAGAGATCGCCATGTTGGTTTTTAACATGTTTTTTAATATTTCCACTGTTTTTGAACTCTTTTGGGCAATGCGGGCATCTGTAACGAAAGCCGCCGTGTTTATTTTGAATGTGTGCGATTCTCTCTTGTATGGTTGAGAATATTTCGTCGCAAAGCCGACATTTGTATTTATTGCTTTCTAGCTTGTGTGCCGTCTTTAAATGCCTATCTAGGTTGCTCTTATCGGTAAAGTTCTTGTCGCAACGTGGGCATTCGAACGTTTTCTTTTCCGAGGGATCGCCATGTTTGTTTTTAACATGAGATTTCACGCTTCCACTTTGTGTGAAATCTTTCGGGCAATGCGGGCATTTGTAACGATGGTCGCCGTGTTTATTTTCAATATGCGCCACTCTACTTTCCTTAGTCGAGAATATTTCGTCGCAAAGCGAACATTTGAATTTTTTTCTTTGAACGCCGTGTTTGTGTTTCACGTGAGATTTTACGCAATCTCTTCTATTGAACTCTTTCGGGCAATGAGGACAACGGTATTTAACCGCCGAGTGGTGACTTTTTAAGTGTCTGTACCTACTATTTCTATTGTAAAACGCTTTGTCGCATTGTGGACATTTGTGTTTATTCCTTTGCAAGGGATCGCCGTGTTTGCTTTCAATGTGGTAATAAAAAGAACTACTGCTTGTGACAGCTTTGTCGCAATGCGGACATTCGTACATTTTTTTTTGCGAGCCATCGCCATGCACGGTCTTAACGTGGTGTTTTATCTGATCCCTTCTTTTGAACTCTTTTTGGCAATGCGGACAACGGTGTTTAACGCACACCGAGTGCTGAATTTTAATGTGCCTGTACTTACTAGTTAGATTGGTAAACGTTGTGTCGCATTGCGGGCATTCGTATTTTTTTCTTTGCGACGGATCGCCGTGGGTGGAGTGAATGTGTTCTTTTAAATTAAGTATGAATGAGAAAGCTTTCGGGCAATGCGGACAACTGTGTTTATAACCGCTGTGTTTTACTTTGATATGCTCTATGATGCCGTTTTTGTGAAATAGTTTTTTTTCGCAATGCGGGCATTTGAATTTTTTTCTTTGCAAAGAATCGCCGTGTTGGTTTTTAACGTGCCGAATTAAATTACTACTTTTCGTTAAAGTTTTTAGGCAGTATTTAACTCTTTTCGAAGGATCGCCGTGTTGAATTTTAACGTGACTTTTTACAGAAGCACTTGATGCAAATTCTTTTGGGCAATGCGGGCATTTTAATTTAATTCGTGCGTCGCCGCAATGGCTTTGCACGTGTCTTGTTAAACCATATCTTCTATACTAATAGAGAAATCTTATAAGGAGTATTATATTTTCACAACAGGTATTAGATTTTTCCCTCAGTTTACACATACGAGAAGAGCATTAAAGCGAAGTTTTTAGAACTCAATGATTAATTTAATTGTTTAATACATTTTTTCTTAGTAAATACATGTTTTATTCTGTTTTAATCGTAGATATCCGAAGAATAGGTTGGTAGAAATAAAAGTCCAGGGTTAATACATAATTTTTATTTTTAACTTATTTAGATATATTGTAAGTAAGTCTTTTGTGTGAAAGAATTGAACCTACACCTTGCCAAGGTGTTTTGTTTTGAGTGCGTTCCACCAACATCAAATACCGACAGACAGCGTCGGGCAACTTTGTGTAGTGGAACACGTACAAAACAAAGGACGATCTGAGCTTATACCGCGTTGTTTCATTTTATAAGAGATCGCCATGTTGGTTTTTAACATGTTTTTTAATATTTCCACTGTTTTTGAACTCTTTTGGGCAATGCGGGCATCTGTAACGAAAGCCGCCGTGTTTATTTTGAATGTGTGCGATTCTCTCTTGTATGGTTGAGAATAGTTGGTCGCAAAGCCGACATTTGTATTTATTGCTTTCTAGCTTGTGTGCCGTCTTTAAATGCCTATCTAGGTTGCTCTTATCGGTAAAGTTCTTGTCGCAACGTGGGCATTCGAACGTTTTCTTTTCCGAGGGATCGCCATGTTTGTTTTTAACATGAGATTTCACGCTTCCACTTTGTGTGAAATCTTTCGGGCAATGCGGGCATTTGTAACGATGGTCGCCGTGTTTATTTTCAATGTGCGCGACTCTACTTTCCTTAGTCGAGAATATTTCGTCGCAAAGCGAACATTTGAATTTTTTTCTTTGAACGCCGTGTTTGTGTTTCACGTGAGATTTTACGCAATCTCTTCTATTGAACTCTTTCGGGCAATGAGGACAACGGTATTTAACCGCCGAGTGGTGACTTTTTACGTGTCTGTACCTACTATTTCTATTGTAAAACGCTTTGTCGCATTGTGGACATTTGTGTTTATTCCTTTGCAAGGGATCGCCGTGTTTGCTTTCAATGTGGTAATAAAAAGAACTACTGCTTGTGACAGCTTTGTCGCAATGCGGACATTCGAACAATTTTTTTTTGCGAGCTATCGCCATGCACGGTCTTAACGTGGTGTTTTATCTGATCCCTTCTTTTGAACTCTTTTTGGCAATGTGGACAACGGTGTTTAACGCACACCGAGTGCTGAATTTTAATGTGCCTGTTCTTACTAGTTAGATTGGTAAACGTCGTGTCGCATTGCGGGCATTCGTATTTTTTTCTTTGAGAGGGATCGCCGTGGGTGGAGTGAATGTGTTCTTTTAAATTAAGTATGAATGAGAAAGCTTTCGGGCAATGCGGACAACTGTGTTTGTAACCGCTGTGTTTTACTTTGATATGCTCTATGATGCCGTTTTTGTGAAATAGTTTTTTTTCGCAATGCGGGCATTTGAATTTTTTTCTTTGCAACGGATCGCCGTGTTGGTTTTTAACGTGCCGAATTAAATGACTACCTACTTTTCGTTAAAGTTTTTAGGCAGTATTTAACTCTTTTCGAAGGATCGCCGTGTTGAATTTTAACGTGACTTTTTACAGAAGCACTTGATGCAAATTCTTTTGGGCAATGCGGGCATTTTAATTTAATTTGTGCGTCGCCGTAATGGCTTTGCACGTGTTTCGTTAAACCATCACTATATTATCTATACTAATAGAGAAATCTTATAAGGAGTATTATCAGGGTTCCCTCTTTTAAAACCATTTAAAATTCCCTGACTTTTCCAGGTTTTCCCTGATCAAAGTCCCTATAATTCCAGATAAATAAAAGAAAGACATAAAGACAATTATCTCCCAAAATAGTGTCCCATCAGAATTATGTTAAGTCAAAAATAGCGTTTATTTTTGTTAATATTTATTTAAAAATTAAATATTATAATAAAAATTAAAATAAAATTTTAATAAAAACAGTTTAACATTAAATAGATTTTTTGGTACAAACATAAAAAACATTCTTTGGTATACCTACATTTATACAAATATACCATATTCATCAAAGCAATCCACAACAAACTTTAACAATTTAAAATTAATTATGACAATTGTTTTAATTATTGTTAATTGTTAGTTTGTTTATCAGGTGCATTGCTTTGCAATTTTTTAGTGTGTAAAATTTTTTTGTGTAAAATCCTTGATAATTACCGCTGGCACGGCGGCGCCGTACGAAAACAATTGTTTACGATACCAGTGTTGCCAATTCAACGAAAAAGGGTCAGAAAACAAGCCGTTTTATAAATTTCCCTGACTTTTACCATAATATTAACAAATTCCCTGACTTTTGCGCTGACTTTCAAAATTCCCCGACTTTTCCCTGATTTTATTGGACTTAAACGGATTCCCTGACTATTCCAGGTTTTCAAGGATTTCCAGGTGAGAGGGAACCCTGATTATATTTTTCACAACAGGTATTAGATTTTTCCCTCAGTTTACACATACATACGAGAAGAGCCTTAAAGCGAAGTTTTTAGAACTCAATGATTAATTTAATTGTTTAATACATTTTTTCTTAGTAAATACATGTTTTATTCTGTTTTAATCGTAGATATCCGAAGAATAGGTTAGTAGAAATAAAAGTCCAGGGTTAATACATAATTTTTATTTTTAACATATTTAGATATATTGTAAGTAAGTCTTTTGTGTGAAAGAATTGAACCTACACCTTGCCAAAGTTTTTTGTTTTGAGTGCGTTCCACCAACATCAAATACCGACAGACAGCGTCGGGCAACTTTGTGTAGTGGAACACGTACAAAACAAAGGACGATCTGAGCTTACACCGCGTTGTTTCATTTTACAAGAGATCGCCATGTTGGTTTTTAACATGTTTTTTAATATTTCCACTGTTTTTGAACTCTTTTGGGCAATGCGGGCATCTGTAACGAAAGCCGCCGTGTTTATTTTGAATGTGTGCGATTCTCTCTTGTATGGTTGAGAATAGTTGGTCGCAAAGCCGACATTTGTATTTATTGCTTTCTAGCTTGTGTGCCGTCTTTAAATGCCTATCTAGGTTGCTCTTATCGGTAAAGTTCTTGTCGCAACGTGGGCATTCGAACGTTTTCTTTTCCGAGGGATCGCCATGTTTGTTTTTAACATGAGATTTCACGCTTCCACTTTGTGTGAAATCTTTCGGGCAATGCGGGCATTTGTAACGATGGTCGCCGTGTTCATTTTCAATATGCGCCACTCTACTTTCCTTAGTCGAGAATATTTCGTCGCAAAGCGAACATTTGAATTTTTTTGTTTGATTGACGTGTACGTGTTTCACGTGAGATTTTACGCAATCTCTTCTATTGAACTCTTTCGGGCAATGAGGACAACGGTATTTAACCGCCGAGTGGTGACTTTTTACGTGTCTGTACCTACTATTTCTATTGTAAAACGCTTTGTCGCATTGTGGACATTTGTGTTTATTCCTTTGCAAGGGATCGCCGTGTTTGCTTTCAATGTGGTAATAAAAAGAACTACTGCTTGTGACAGCTTTGTCGCAATGCGGACATTCGTACATTTTTTTTTGCGAGCCATCGCCATGCACGGTCTTAACGTGGTGTTTTATCTGATCCCTTCTTTTGAACTCTTTTTGGCAATGCGGACAACGGTGTTTAACGCACACCGAGTGCTGAATTTTAATGTGCCTGTACTTACTAGTTAGATTGGTAAACGTTGTGTCGCATTGCGGGCATTCGTATTTTTTTCTTTGCGACGGATCGCCGTGGGTGGAGTGAATGTGTTCTTTTAAATTTTGTATGAATGAGAAAGCTTTCGGGCAATGCGGACAACTGTGTTTATAACCGCTGTGTTTTACTTTGATATGCTCTATGATGCCGTTCTTGTGAAATAGTTTTTTTTCGCAATGCGGGCATTTGAATTTTTTTCTCTGCAACGGATCGCCGTGTTGGTTTTTAACGTGCCGAATTAAATTACTACTTTTTGTTAAAGTTTTTAGGCAGTATTTAACTCTTTTCGAAGGATCGCCGTGTTGAATTTTAACGTGACTTTTTACAGAAGCACTTGATGCAAATTCTTTTGGGCAATGCGGGCATTTTAATTTAACTTGTGCATCGCCGTAATGGCTTTGCATGTGTCTTGTTAAACCGTATCTTCTGGGGTACGCTTTTGGACATTGCGGACATTTGTATTTTTTTGTTTGCAAGGGATCTCCGTGTAAGATTTTAACGTGCCGAATTAAAGCTCCACTTCTCGGGAAATCTTTTGAGCAATGCGGGCATTTGTAAGTGGCCTCGCCGTGTATTTTTTTAAAGTGGGCGACTTTCCCTTGCCTAGTCGAGAATATTTCGTCGCAAAGTGGACAGTCGTATTTATCGCTCTGCAGCTTGTGTACGTTTTTTAGATGTTTTTTCATGCCGTGCTTGTAGAAAAATTTTTTTTCGCAAAGGGGGCATTTGAATTTTTCTCTTTCCAAGGGATTGCCGTGCAGGTTTTTAACGTGCCTACGAAATCCACTACGAAATGTGAAAGATTTCGGGCAGTGCGGGCATTTGTAGATTTCTCTTGCTATTGATTTTCTAAAACAAAAAGAATAGGGCGGAAAGTTATCGATTTGTTAAAAAATAATAATAAAAACTCACCCCGAATCATAATTTACCCCGTGGTATTCAACTTCGATTTTCGTTTCAAAAGTGCCATCTTCTTTTTCTTCTTCAGAAAAGTCAACATCTTCCCCTTCTTCCTTAACACCGCACATGGGTTCTTTATATTTATCTCTATGATCGGAATTTTCACTTTCTTTATCGCTATCCTTGATTTCAGATCTAAAATCGTTTTCAATAAACAACAGCGTAAAATCAAAATATTTTTTTTAATTCGCGGCATTTTTAAACGCGATAAACCCAACAATCTGTTTTATATGAACGAAAGAAAGTTAAAAATTCGAAATACATTTTGAGCGGCAAATTTCTGTACTATGCTCCACACCTCAAAGTCCCACCACGTGACCACGTACGGAACGCAGTCTTTTGAAAATTTGGCATTTAAGGCTTTTCAGGTTATGTATCTGTCAAAGTATAGTCATTGAAAGAAATAATATTTATAGTGTTACCGCTTATGTTTAAGTGTTAAAAGTTAATAAATCTTTATGGTATCACAATAACAGTGGTTGGTTTAAGAATTTAGGAATATAAATACTGCATTTAATGAAATTCAAAAGTGTAAGGTGCAATATAAGTGATATTTTTGTGCATTGGGTCTACATTTCTCCATAAAATAGTTTTAACTAAACAGCATTTATTAAAAAAAATCTCACTTCTGACATAACAATATGTGTATCAAAGGTAGGTTAATGTATTAGATCAAAAAATATCACCTAATTTTGTATTTTAAGGTTAGAAAAATCTATTTGGACCAAAATAAATAAGTGGATTATTTGAAAGAGTGTGTTAATATGGTCATAAATAAATATAGGTATACTAAATAATTGTTGAATATAGTTTAAATTAAATTGAAGCTTTTATACTTCTAACGAAAAAACTTGTACATACCTCTTGGCATACTTACTTTAAGTTAGATTATAAGAAAACAAACAATTTTAAGAGAAACTTGCAATGAGAAAATATTTAATACTCCCATGACATGTGATTTATTAAAATTTTTAAAGTTATAATGATTTTTTGATGTAGATCAAATTCAGTCAAAGCTTTTTAACTATTTGTATTGACAAAACTTATGTAGGTACACTTTAAGCTGGATAAAAAAAACTACCACATTTTTAAATACCATATTGTACAGTCTTTTAAATAATCCAAAATACTTATTTATTTTGGTCAAAATAAATTTTTCTAACCTTAAAATTACAAAATTAGATGATATTTTTGTTATAATATATTAACCTACCTTTAATACAGATATTCTTATTCCATAATAGAGAAGCTAGATTTTTTTAAATAAATGTTTAGTTAAAATTATTTTATGGAGAAAACCAGATATTTGGACCAAATGCACAAAAATATTACTTATTTGGCACCATACACTTTAGAATTTCATTAAATGCAGTATTTTTATTCTAAAATTCTTAAACCATCCATTGTTATTCTAATGTTATAAAGATTTATATATTTTTAACGCCTAAACATAATATTATTTCTTTCGTTGACTATACTTTGACAGATACATAACCTGAAAAGCCTTAAATGCCAAATTTTCAAAAGACTGCGTTCCGTACGTGGTCACGTGGTGGGACTTTGAGGTGTGGAGCCAAAAATAACTCACCCTGATTCTTTTGCAATACTCTCACAATTAACGCCATGGTATTCCACTTCGATTTTCGTTTCATCATCATCTTCTTTTTCATGGCACGAGGAATCTTCACATTCGTCTCCATTATCCGAACTGTCACTTTCTTCATCGCTGTCCTCGATTTCAGATCTAAAATTGGCTTCATTTATTTATGTTATCGCCACTTGATATTTATTAGTGCGATTTAATATTTATCGGGCGATTCTACACGTAAAACTAAAAGACAAAGTTGCCTTATACAGATGTGCAAAAATGCCTCATGAGGGCGCTATAAGCATTTTAAATTGTTTCGCAAAATTAGGTTTTTCTTAATTATTTCAGAAGGGGTTGTTCAAATCGGATAAATTATGAGCATAGCAAAATTTGATTTTAAAAATCTTCCAATAAAATATGACCCGGAATAACGAAATATTCTTAGAACCTTCCCTTATTGCTAAGAATGTTCTTACACTGAAAAAAAATATTCTTGATTCAAAACAATCTTTGTCTCATATATAACGAAGAGAATATATTCTTTAAAATAGTAAAGTATTTTCTTAATTCACGTTGATTTGATTCAAGAATATTTTTTTAATGTTATTACATTAAGAAAAGATTCTTGAAGTAAATCAACGTGAATTAAGAAAATACTTTAATATTTTAAAGAATATATTATCTTCGTTATATATGAGACAAAGATTGTTTTGAATCAAGAATATTTTTTTTCAGTGTAGGGACTTTTAAAACATTCAATAGATACCATGATTCAATTAGATTCTTAAAAGCTTCTTAAAACCTTCCTAAAAAGCATCCTAAGAACATTTTAAGAATACGTTTTTGGAATGTTCTTAGAAGGATTCTTATGGAGCTTCTAGGAAGCTTTTGAGAATATTTCCAAATATGTCAGATACCCACGTTCTAATATGTTACATTCGTAAAATTCTTCAGGAGACGACAAATACGCCTCACTGTCATAATATGACAGTGAAATGTATTTGTCGTCCCTTTAAAAAGTAAAATTGGAAATTTTTGTGGATAAGTCAGATTAAATTGAAGTTGAAGATAGTTTCGATTATTATACATAAAAATGTTAATTCAGAAATAAAAAATCGGTATACAAATTAATAAATATTTATTTTTAACATAAAATAAAATCCCTATAGTAAAAGTATTTTTGTTATCGAATATTGTTTTATTTGACAAATAACTATAAAAAAATATTTTGGATTGTGTTTTTTACTTAGTATTTAATACTAATTAGGTACCTGCTTAAGTATAGGTATATACCTTTATACATAGTTTATGGTACATTTTAATATTATATAGGTAACTGAACTAAATATGCTTAACAGGAATATTCCGAGGGGGTAACAACTGCTGGCAATACATGTACAAATTGTGATGCATTACCCCGCATTACGGCGGCATTACATGACATTACCGGCATTATGTGGCATTATGTTGGCATTCCGCAGTATTACTCTGGTATTAGGCGGCATTACATTGCATTACTTAAAAATTTCACGGCATTACGTACGAATTACGGCATTACGCTCGTATTTTATGGCATTAAGGTTGAATTTTGTGGTTGTGAATTGCAGTGTTTGTTTAGAAGTTATAACTATAGTTAGTTAGTTAGTTAGCAGACAGTTAGGTATTTAAATTTAAGAGACAGTTAGGTATTTAAGCTTGAGGTAATTACCTTACTTAAGTGAAATAAAATCATTTATAGGTATTTTTAATTTTACTAAGATATTTAGTTTTTACTCATCATACACATTTGCTAAGAAAGGGAATTACCCCAAGAACCACAGTTCTCCTTAAAACACAAACTTTGTATTTTGAAGCATTTTTTTCTCAATAATTTCCTGAAATTTTTTAAGAAGCGTTTCTACCCAGGATGAAGTGTATTTTTATTTAACGAGAACTTAATGTAGACGCTGTTCACGTGATTGACGAAAACAAGGCCGTATTAAAAGCTAAATATCCATATGGGCCTAAGATTTTTGTATTTTAAATCGAAAATTGGCATTTCTGCTTTAAATAATTTTAGATTATAAGATTTCATGACATTTGCCATTTTAACAAATTCTTTAAAAAATTAAAACAAAACGTATTAAATTACAGTAAACCACAATGTATACAAAAAAAGTATCCATTTTTTGGTTGATTTCGAGTTTCGGTTAAATTAATATGAACTGAAATAGCTGAAAAATATTAAAATTAGCAAGAACTCAAACAAGGACAACTAAATTCTATTAAATTTTGCAAAAATTACAAAAAATTTTATAATTAATTTTAATGTTAAGGTCAGGAAAAATTCCAATGTAAAATTATTTACTTATAAATAATGCGGTATGCTGCAATAAAATAAAGTTTTCTTAAAAAAATAAAAAAGGCATTTTTGACATATTTAATTTTTTTTCTCAAAATAATGAAAAAATTAGTCCATGTGATATATCATAAAAAGGCCCCTAAAAGACCTTTAAAACAGGACCCACCTTTTACTTTAAATAGTATTTGACATATTGCAATTTTTTGATTTTCAACAAACTTGTTATTACAAAAAAATGGATCTTTGAGTTTTTTAATGATTAAAACAAATTTACCAAAAATAATCAAAATCGGAGATAGTGAGGAAAAAGCCTTCGGGTGATTTGATATGGACTGACCCAGCTATTTCTGTCCCTTGTTTTATAGTTTATTTGATCTTTTAGAATGTCTTCATCAGAAAAAGAATTAATATTATCCGAAGAAGAATCAATTTGTCCAGTTAATGCCTGTATTAGTAAAGTTCAACAACATGGTTTTCAGTTACCAGTTTACATGTAAAAAAACCTTATGATTTCCATTGATTATGACAACCTATATTCGATATCAAAAATCACCGATATTCATATTGAATATATTAATTTATTTGCAAGAAATTACCTCTTTGAACTCTTAGAAGCAGACGAGAAAGTACTTGTATACGGAATTTATTAAAAAAAACGACTGGACCAATAAAAATCATCGGAACAGGACCATTTCAACTATCAAGACACGATAAATTAACAATTATTAAACTTTACAAAGATGTTAAGAAAAATATGTTTAACTGAAAATATGATCGACTAAAATGTTTATTCGCGTGAACAAATAGTTTAAGAATATGTTTTAGTTGTAGGTACCTCGTATATATGTGTAATACATTGTGTATGTTTGTACAGGGTCCGGCAACAGAATTGAACGGTTTTAAAAATGCTGCTATGGAAATACTCTTGATTTGATATATGTCAAATAGTGACAGACTTGTACCTTATTGCCGAAAGTTTCGTGGCTGCTATGGAAATACTACATATTGATTTAATATATGTCAAATAGTGACAGACTTGTTCCCTATTTGCCGAAAGTTTCGTGTACAATGGCAATTAAAAATTGTGTGCAGAAATTGAGTCGATTGACTTTATCAATGGGATTTAGCCTCTGGACTGTCGGTTTTTTGGATGGAGTTTTAAATCCAGATGTAACATTCGTCGCAAACTTCGGTCTGAAATGTGTAGAGCAATCGAGTGCCGCTCAAACGCTTCTCTGACTCTTCCAATATTTTCTTGTGTACAAACTGTACGAGTTCCAGCGGCAAATTTTGATTTTACACTGCCTTTTTCGTTAAAATCTCTTACCCATCTCAAAATGGCATTTTTTTTTATGGGACTTCAGCTCGCATTTGAAAATTATATTCACGACGAAAGCGTCTCTGCGTTTGTATACGAAGGACTGGGTCAGGGTAAACGAATTTACAGCAAATATCCGTTGATTAACCGGCCAGTTTGACATTGCACACAAAACCTTCGGCAATAAGGTATAAGTCTGTCACTATTTGACATATACCAAATCAATAGTATTTCCCGAGGTATTTCCATAGCAGCCTTTTCAAAACCGTTCAATTCTGATGCCGGACCCTGTATAATATACAGTGTATATATGTGATAAGAGAAAATAATAAATATGTCCAAACTGTATATTATATTTTGTTTCATATAAATATTCTTCATGGATGTTGCCACAATATGTTATCATAATATAACATTTATGCATTTTTTTATTTTGTTAAGAATGGTAAAGATTTCTTTTATTTTTATATTGTTTTCTTGGAACAAAAATGTATGTATGAGTAAATATGGAATTACTAGCATTACACTGGAATTACTGGCATTACACTGGAATTACTGGTATTACACTGGAATTACTGGCAGTACACTGGAATTACTGGCATTATACTGAAATTACTGGCATTAAACTGGAATTACTGACATTACACTGGTATTACTGGTATTACTATAAAAAAGGCACGTAATGCGCAATACATGTACAAATTTTGGTTCAGTTGTTACCCCCCTCGGAATATTCCTAAATGAACTTTCTATAACAATTACTTTCTTAACATTCTAAGCATATGTACTCTAAGTAGACTAATTTTTACCACTAAAACTTTGCACCTTCTAAGAACCTGCCTATAGGCCAGTAAGAATATTCTTAGGATCATGCTATATGTCCTTTAAGCATGTTCTTTAGAAGAAATATAGCATGATCCCAAGAATATTCTCACTGGAAGGTTTAAAAAACATTCTTAGAATAAAGTGTGCCCTTAAAAAATATTGAGACATATTAATATATATTTATTTAAAAATATTAAATAAACAATTTGACCTCTAAACCATAAGTTGTATGACATTATTTCATAAAAAGTAAAATTGAAAATTTTTGTGGATAAGTCAGATTAAATTTAAGTTGAAGATAGTTTCGATTATTATACATAAAAATGTTAATTCAAAAATAAAAAATCGGTATACAAATTAATAAATATTTATTTTTAACATAAAATAAAATACCTATAGTAAAAGTATTTTTGTTATCGAATATTGTTTTATTTGACAAATATCTATAAAAAAATATTTTGGATTGTGTTTTTTACTTAGTATTTAATACTAAATACTAATTAGGTACTTAAGTACCTATAGGTATATACCTTTATACATAGTTTATGGTATATTTTACTATTATATAGGTGAACTAAATATGCTTAACAAGAATATTCCTAAATGAACTTTCTATAGCAATTACTTTCTTAACATTCTAAGCATATTTTTAGAGTAGACTAATTTTTACCACTAAAACTTTGCACCTTATTTGTCAAAATATAAAATATAATATTATTTATCATCATGTATGTTTAACAAAAGAAAAAGAATAAAAAATGATAGTCACAAGTGTGACATAAAAATAACAAACTGTATTTTAAATTGGTGCATCAACATAAAGAAATATTCAACGATTTAAGATCAAAACTCAATTAATTTATTAGAAACTTTAGCAGGTTATGGGCCCAGTAGAGGTTTCTGAACATTAGTTTGTGTGTTTCCAATGATGTTGATTCAATTATCAAACTTAAAGATGGTGCATCGTTTCCTTTGTGGGAAAAGGAAATAAAGATAACCTTTAAAGCAAAAAAACTAAACAAGATTGTAGAAGGTACAGAAAAAAACCCACTACAGATGAAAATATGATAGAAGAATGGGAATCTAAGGATGCTCTTGCTCAATACTACATTTTAAGGACTGTTGAGACCGTCTCATATTTTGTCGTGCCAAGATGCAGCTGAAATGTTCAAAACATTAACTCAATTATATAAGAAAGATACAGTGCAGCAGAAAAGTCAATTACTGTCTGAATTGTTCAGTTTTAAGTCTTTGGATGTTATGTCCAATATAGCTGCGATACAAAACCTGTTTTTTCGATTAAATTCCCTGAATACCTACACCAATTGACAACACAATGACTATGACAAGAATAATTTTGGCGCTTCCTGAAGAGTACAAACATTTCTCTAGTGCCTGGGATTCAACGTCCAAAGAAGATTGATAACTTAAAATCAAGACTTATTGTTGAAGAAGAAAAAATTAAAAGTAGAAGTGAAGAGCCAAAGGTGGCTTACAAGGTTTATGCAAATAACAATAGCAAAGAAAGACAAAATCACAAGGCCGAAAGAAACAATGTAAAGTGCTTTAATTGCGGTGGTGGTGGTCATTATGCCAATGAATGTAATAAGTCAAAGCAAAATAAACAACGTCAGGACTTTAATAAAACTAACAAACAACTTCATCATGCAGTATTTGTCAAGACTCATAGTGGTGAATGTTACTTCAAGTACAAAAGAGAATTGCATCCATGTGTATATTCAATATACACATGGATGCAATTCTCTTTTGTACTTGAAGTAACATATATTATACTTGAAGTAACATATAATATACTATATTGTAAAATGACAAACCATCCATCTGAACGGTGCAGAAAGATAAAAATGGAAGAGAAAATAACAACAAAACAGCATATTTTATGGAGAGTTATCTCAGAAAATGTCAACGAAAAGAAGCTGGATACTATGTTTGTTGTAGACAGTGGTTGTAATACTCATTTAACTCATGATAAAAATATATTGTCTGATATCAAAAAGACTGAACAACATCAAATAAATGTGGCTAAAAAAGGCCAAAGTGTGTTTTAAAAAATCATAACTTTGTTAGAACGGGGAATTTTTGTGCGTCTTTTTTCTTTGGGGCTTAAAATTTTTCTAAATTGTACCTGCACTTACAAGGATCAATACATTAAATGAAAGAACTTCATATCCTTTTAAATAAAAAAATATAAAAGTTTCCTACATACCTTGATTTAATTCCTCGATTATATTTGTTTCCTTTAACTTCTTCATCTTCAGGAGTGTATGATGAATCATCATCAGCAGAAAAGTCACTTTCTTCATTGCTACTTTCATCAACTCTAAAATTATGAGTAGGTATAATTAAATATCTAGCTTAGTTTACGAAAAACAATTAAACTAAATATGAATGCTAGCTAGATATTTAACAATAATAATTAGAGATACCATACATCCGGGATTCACAGGATTTATTTTAGCTTTTGGGGAGATCTTTTCAAACAGTTTTGGCCAAAGACAACAAATTTTCATCAGGTGTGATATGGGTTGTTCAAAGTATAGGTATGTACTTTGTTTATTTTATAAATTGTTAATATGCGCTAGCATCGGGTTTTCGAACGCGCGCGCCATCTGGTGGCACTCGATAGCAATATTAAAATACTAGGTTTGTCAACAATACATTTAAAGCATACGAACTGCGCATCATTTAAAAATAAATAATTAGTTTTTTGACTAAATAGAGGAAGGAAGAAGTCTTACTCGACAAATTTTGTTCGCAAAATTTCAATTGCACAGCTTAACCGCGCACGTTATTTGTGTGTATTTTATCTAAGCGATTATTATGAATTATTGTGTTTTTAATTGTAAATGTAATTCAAGAACTAATTCAAAGTTGCATTTTTATGTTTTGCCAAAAAAACCAATTCGGTACGTATATTTGTTGGTGCAGAATTAACTAATGATAACTTTACCCTATATAATTTATATTTGAGTTTGGACATTTTTAAGGAATCTAACAAAATAATAGGTGTACAAACATAACCTTAAAATCAAACATTTTTATATTTGAGTCCTCTAAAAACGGCGACAACTGCATTTTAAAATAGTTAACAGCAAAATATATAACGAATTCATGGCAACATAATATAATCCCCGTTTTTGGTCTTTTACCGTTGAGTGGAGACTTTCTCAATCAACGCTTTTAATAATTTAAAATGCTGTTTGCATTTAAACGACTTATTTGTTTTTTGAATTTTACTGAATTGAAATGTTTACAATTTTCACGTAAATCATTACTAAAATGTGTATTTATTGTATCTAATAGGTACAATTTGTATTTACAGGGACTGTATGCTATTTATTTCTTTATTTGGATTAACACTGTTTATTGGAAAACCGATAAAACTCAACCCAGGATTTCCTCTCGAAAACACCCAAAAAAACAACAAATCGTTTCACAGTTTTTTTCTCGATATTTTTAACATATTCCGGCCATATTCTCAAAAACACTTGTTTGTAAGACAGCTAATTATTAAGTTGTAGTTTTGTTATGATGATAATAAACACAAAATTTAATGCAATTTAAACAAAAATAACTTACATTGGGACGATTTTTCTTCTACTTCTTGTGGATCTTCTAACTTCATGATTTTTTACTTTACTTTTTGAATTCCCATTGGTTTTTTCATCGTTTTCAGATGTTGATGAATTCTCGTCATCGACACTATCATCAACACCTGTATCAGTTCTAAAATTGAATTTATACAGTTCAACAACAAATAAGACCCGATTAAATGTTTTTTGAAATGTTGAAATAGTCCATTTACAAAAAAAGAAATATGGTGCCCCATTTTTATAAGCTCCTCTTAATAAGAAGTGAAACTTCTTATTAATATGCTAGAAATCGATTTTTAGACTAATTAAACTTTAATTAGACTTTTAATAAAAAAATAATTTTTTTATTTATATCAGATATTTCTGTTAAAAAAAGAAAGCCCGCAAAAGTCCCAAGTTTTGTTGATTTTTAGTAGACTTTTTCTTATTTTTAGAGCATATATTTTTGCATGCATTCTTAAATCTAAAATACTTACTCAATGCGACAATTGTTTCCAAGATCTCCATTATTATTTTCAACAGAACTTTGTAATTTTTCAAAGGTAATTCGAGAATCTAAAAGCGTTTGCTTTTCCTTTTCCACATCTTCAGGCTCTAAAAAGTAAATACTATCTTCGGTGACAAAGTCATCGATTAAAAGTACCTCGTCCTTTACCATGGTATTAATTAGGTACCTTAAAAAAATTAAAATATTATAGGGTCAATTTTACATAATGTGCAATTGCTATTTTTTAATTACAATAAAACAAAAGGTTTTAATGGTTGTTTTTAATTTTAAAAACAACAGGAAAACGAACCCCATAATTATGGGTATGTATATAAATATTTATAACAAAGTCAAATCAATTACCATATAAAACAACCATAATTCAATTACCATTTAAATCAACCAATTTAAACCACTTAAATCAAACAATCTCTCATCAAACTTCATAGGTACCTAATAGAAATTGTTTGGGCAACAAAACACAAACTAAAACATATTTCAAAAAACCCCACAGAAAGTTTGTTTTGTGAAAAACCCCAGAGTCTGAAGCCCATACAAAAAAGCACAATAACCCATGACCAAGGCCAAGGCTACAACATTTGCACATCTGTTTCAAAAGTGTACAGTGTTGACAAATTCGCTAATAGTACAAAGAAATAAAATGAACTTTAATAATAATTTTAATACGTATCTTTAATTAAAACTGTTTACTAAAAGTGGTTATTAGTAGGTATAAAAGCAATGGTAATTATATTTAAAACAAAGAATAAGTGTACAACAGATTAAAACAAAATGCAAACAATCCAAAAATGTCATATGTCAAAATAACTTTATAGTGTTTAAAGTTGTGTTATTAAAATTTAACTAGATAATCCACATAAACATAAAAAAGTTTCTGGAATTTCAAAAAAACTTAAAACCCCAAAATGAGCATTACCAAAGTTTCCCCAAAGCAAGATGAAATCCCCCATTTTGGGGTAAAACCACAAATCTGGCAGCGCTGTTGATTTCTTTCATTCTCTCAGTTGGCTGCACAGAACAGCTGACTGGGAGACAGCGTTGCCAACTGCAGGGAATTTTCCCTTTTTCGGGAATTTTTCTTGTCGAAATGGTAGAAGGGAATCTCTTATGTAAAATGTGAATATTAGGGAATTATCAATAAAAATACTTGTAGCTGGACAGTAAAAATCTACCTGACTCGAGAATAATTTTTTTTTCAAAAATTTTACATTTTGTTATTTTTTAATAATTTTTTTTATTGTTTTAATTAATTGCCGCGACTTTAGCCCCAATAGTCAAAAAGAAGTCTGGCAATCCTGGTATTATGTGCTTTCAGTCACAGATCATGGCTGTCAGATTGATATTATCAACAATATTACGATTTTGTCAAATATGTCATAGATGAAGGTATTTTTTAATTTTAAGTGTTCCAGTTTGTCCACAACTATTATTTTTATTAATACTTTTTCAAATTTTATTAACAAAAAACTCAATAAGGAATTTTGGGTTAAAATATGGAATTTTTAGAACCGTCCTGGGAAATTTTAAATAAAATAGGTTGGCAACACTGCTGGGAGGGCGCTTTTATTTAAGTATTGTTTGTTTATAGTTTGTTGTGTTTAAATTGTTTACAAGTTGTAAATTACAACTTGACAACTTGTCTCTGTTTAGTTTGTGTCTACTCTAGAGCTGTTGTTGGTGAAGTGTTTCCCAAGTTTACAAATTTGTGATGAGAAATTGTTTTAGTTGATTTAAATGGTAATTAGTGTTAGTTGTAACTGATTGTGGAATATTATAAATATTTGTATTCATATGTAACTTTTAAGGTTATGATACCTATCATGTTTGAGTTTGTTTCCCTGTTGTTTTAAAATTCTAACATGATGTAGGTACCTACTTATTTCTTTAAATAAATTGTTTTAACCATTAAGTAAAACATCCAGTTTTTAGTAATTAAAATGGCAAAAAATAGCAATTGCACATTATGTAAAATTTACCCTTTATATTTTAATTTCTTTTTAAGGTACCTATGACTTTGTCACCGAAGATAGTATTTACCTACCTACTTTATAGAGCCTAAAGATGTGGAAAAGGAAAAGCAAATGCTTTTAGATTCTTGAATTACCTTTGAAAAATTACAAAGTTCTGTTGAAAATAATAATGGAGATCTTGGAAACAATTGTTGCATGGAGTAAGCACAGAACATAAGTATTTTAAATTTAAAAATGCATGCAAAAATATATGCTCTTAAAATAAAAAAGGTATTTTTTTATTTCTTTCAATCGACCATTTTTATAAAGCGTAAATTCCCTAAAAAATAAAAAAAAACAGATTAATTACACCACTTTCAGCACACCCTAAAATTTCAGTAGATATTGACACCATTTGAAAATAAACCAAATTAAAAATGTCTGGTTTTAGTAGTTTTTATGAAAATTAAGTTTAAAAATGTTTTTACTCATTTTTTGAAAGAAACTCTTATAGGTATTTAAAGCAAGTTTTCAAAAGTTGAATGTGTGTTAAATTTACCCACATAAACAAAATTATATTGACTATCTACGTATTTGTTAGAAAAAACAAAAACATAAATTATAAAAAATAAAATTTATCAATACAATTAGACTTTATGAATATTGAACAAAATTAAGGTATAAAAGAATTTGTTTTGGAAAAATATATTTAAAAATGAAAAAATTCATATTATTGTGTTTATTAAAGTACGTGCTAGGAGATTTATATCCTGATAACAATGTCTGCCCTACAATATTAGATTATGATACCATTTACGTAAACGATAGATGTTGGTATGACCCGGATGTGACAGCTTCAGTAGTAAGTAAAGATTATAAATTCATTTATAAAGAGTGTCCCAATTTTTTTTAAATCTTGTTAGTTGTGTTACCAAAAGTAAGTTTTAAATTTCACAGAACAGCATTGTTTAGTTATTTTTGGGACACCCTCTATATTTATTGGTAGAAAACTACAAACACATTTTAGCCTGAAATTATAAGTAACCATGGGTTAAGTTCCACATCTTACAATGTGACCACATGGGATGGATACACCATAGAAATATTCCGAATCAATCCTTTGGTGAACACAACCACCAAAGGCTCGATTTTATTTTTCCCTGCCCTTACCAGGGACTGCAGATGTTTTCTTTTACAAGGTGCCAATTCGCTGGCCATTTATTACGCTTATAAAGGCTGGGATGTCTGGTTGGGAAACCCGAGGGGTTCGGAATACTCCAGCAACATCCACTTCACCAAGGATGATGATAGGTTTTGGGATTATAGTTTCCACGAGATGGGAACCATAGATATGCCATCACAAGTCGACAAAATCGCTGAAATAACTCAGAATGGTGGTAATATTTACCTTGTAGGTTATTCTATGGGCACCACTGTTAGTTTGTTGTATTGTGCTACGAATGTCAGCCATTGTCAGAATAACGTCAAAGGGATTATTGCGCTAGCTCCAGCGGCGAATTTGAATAGGGTTGAGCAGCCTGTATTATATGTAAGACATTTTTAGCATTGGTTAAATCCATGTCAAATCGGCGACGCTTTTTTACCTTCTATTGGGCGGATATTTTTTTAATTTTTCCCCTTTACTGTAGTTTAAAAGATATGATTAAATACCATATCTTCTTTTTTGTTTTAAAATGTAATTTTCTCTAAAAATATTTCCAATAGAGTTAAAATCGTTTCTGACTCACTTGTAATGTATGTAAGTTTTTAAAATTTTGAAAAAAATCCATAAATTTCACTAATAATAACCCCACTATTAAAAAAACAATTTTGCTATCAATCAAAATACCACCTACCTAGGTAATTTTGAAAATCCATACCTACCTCCATGTTGTTTGTTTTAGCTTATATCGCTTGTAGAGCTTCTACCAGGTATACAAAAAATCCCATTTGACTTTCTTTTAGAAATATGCCAACATGCCCCTGGAATTGGACTTTGCGATGTGCTTTTTCAAGCGCTTTTAGGGCCTAGTAATCCAAACATATTGCCTGTAATGTTTTTTATTATCGATATTTCAATGTTTTAAAATGTTGTTTTATAGCAATTATTACCAATTTTAACGTACACTGGAAACTGTCCTGTAACTAATAAGGTTGTAAATCATTATGCCCAAATAATAAACAGTCAGGGCAAGTTTAGGTGGTATGATTATGGTTATTTGGAAAATTTCAGTCGATATGGTACTTTTAGTCCTCCCTACTATGAAACCTCAAAAATACCTGTTCAAACCACTCTTATTTCTGCCAACAAAGATATCATCACAACTGAGCCTGTATGGAAAAAATATTTTAGTAGATGTAAATAATTTAAAGATTATTTATAGGATATAGAGGTACTTTATTCCTCACTTTCGGCAACAAAAAGGACATGGTATAAACTACCCGAAAATTCGGCTCCTGCCATTTTAATGAATCATGTAGATTTTATAACTGGTGCAGAGGTTCAAAGGGAACAACTTTACTCGAAAATAAACGCTGCTTTGGGGGACGTATAATTTTTTAAATGTATATTATATCTACATAATTTAAATAAATAAATATAAATATATGATAATTTACTTTCAAAACCCAAACAAAAAATGTATATGTCAAATAGAGACCAAAATAACTAAACTTACCTCTGTAAAAAAGTTGATAATAACCAAGCCACAGGGTGTCAAAACTGAAAGATCGTTTTTGGTTTTATTGAATAACTTAAATTCATCAATTTTATATTATTAAAAAAAAAGAAAAAACAAAAATATCGAAAACTAATGTTTTTTCAAAAAATTTGAAAATTTTATAGAATTTGAAATACTTTTTTTGTATCTATTTCTTAGAACGTCTCATTTAGTCAATTTTTAAAAGTTATGGGTATATGAATTCGTAACTTTTTTTGGTTGGGTTTAAAATTTGAAAACATTCTGAAATATTTTTTAGTGTGTAGAAAAAGATAAAAAAATCAGCCAAATCAATTTCCTGAATAGTAATGGAATTTTTGACAAAGTTATGAAAAGTTTAGATTAAAAAGTTTTTTAAAATAGTCTTTTGCTGCCTTTTGAGCGACGTGAAAAGTAAAATTTCCGTTGCGCTTGTCATGAAAAATAGTAAAATGTACTATTTAGACAATAATGAAAAATAGTAAAATGTACTATTTAGACAATACGTTTTTACACTTATTAAAATTATTACCAAGTTAACAAAATTACAAATTACATTTGGTCCCTCATACGAGAAACGGAATACGAAAGCAAGAAAAAACAAAGGAGCCAGAATTTTTTCAAACCTATGCTTATTACAACAAAATAAAACTTTCAATATCTTCAATATAGAATTTAATTTCAATATTTAATGTTTAATATAAAAATCAATGTTGAATATTAAATTTTATATAATTCAATAAAATAAAGAAAAAACGTAAACATTATCGAAAAGCTGAATTTTGATCTTCCACTGAAAAATTCGTAACTTTTTTTTATTTTTATCAACAGCAGCTTATTTTTTTCCTTTAAGTATCATATATGCGTAAAACAAATCAAACTGGACTTATCTTTTCGATTTCTATCTTTCCCAGAAAGATATGTACATTTTCGACCTAGATTTTTGTAAAAAAGGGCTTTTTCAACTTAATAAAATCGGTAGCATAGAACTACTGGGCTGATACCAAAACTATACAAGAGAAAGTTGTAGCTTCAGGGCTTAATTAACTTTGATTTAAGTAAACTTAATATATACTCTAAAACGTCAAAACACAAATTAAAACAAAAAACGCTTCAATGAAAAAATCGCAATGAATTCAAAAATTATTTTTTTCAAAATTATTCTTAAACTGTAAACAAATAATTTAGATGATGACCAAGTAAAAAAATTAAATTCATACAAAAAAGGTATTTTTTTATTTCTTTCAATCGATCATTTTTATAAAGCGCAAATTTCCTAAAAAATAACAAAAACAGTTTAATTACACCACTTTCAGCTAACCCTAAAATTTCAATAGATATTGACACCATTTGAAAATAAACCAAATTAAAAATAGCTGGTTTTAGTAGTCTTTATGAAAATTAAGTTTTTACTCATTTTTTAAAAGGAACTCTTATATTTAGAGCAAGTTTTCAAAAGTTGAATGTTTGTTAAATTTACCCACATAAACAAAATTATATTGACTACCTACGTATTTGTTAGAAAAAACAAAAACATAAATTATAAAAAATTAAATTTATCAATACAATTAGACTTGATGAATATTGAACAAAATTAAGGTATAAAACAATTTGTTTTGGAAAAATATATTTAAAAATGAAAACATTCATATTATTGTGTTTATTAAAGTGCGTGCTAGGAGATTTATATCCTGATAACAATGTCTGCCCTACAATATTAGATTATGATACAATTTACGTCAACGATAGATGTTGGTATGACCCGGATGTGACAGCTTCAGTAGTAAGTAAAGATTATAAATTCATTTATAAAGAGTGTCCCAATTTTTTTTTATTTTGTTAGTTGTGTTACCAAAAGTAAGTTTCGACTTACACAGAACAGCATTGTTTAGTTATTTTTGGGACCCCCTCTATATTTATTGGTAAAAAACTACAAACACATTTTAGCCTGAAATTATAAGTAACCATGGGCTAAGTTCCACATCTTACAATGTGACCACATGGGATGGATACACCATAGAAATATTCCGAATCACTCCTTTGGTGAACACAACCACCAAAGGCTCGATTTTATTTTTTCCTGCCCTTACCAGGGACTGCAGAAGTTTTCTTTTGCAAGGTGCTAATTCGCTGGCCATTTATTACGCTTATAAAGGATGGGATGTCTGGTTGGGAAACCCGAGGGGTTCGGAATACTCCAGCAACATCCACTTCACCAAGGATGACGACAGGTTTTGGGATTATAGTTTCCATGAGATGGGAACCATAGATATGCCATCACAAGTGGACAAAATCGCTGAAATAACTCAGAATAGTGGTAATATTTATCTTATAGGTCATTCTATGGGTACCACTGCTAGTTTTGTGTATTGTACTACGAATGTTAGCCATTGCCAGAATAACGTCAAAGGGATTATTGCTCTAGCGGCGAATTTGTATAGGGGTGGGCAGACTTTATTTTATGTAAGACATTTTTTACATTGGTTAATTCAATGCCAAAATGGCGACGCTTACACTTTACCACTCTCTATTGGGCTGATATTTTTTTCACATTCTGGTAATTTTTTTTCGATTTTCTATATATTTTATTTCTATATAAATATTTTACAATTTATTATTTTTTTCTCTAAAAGTGTTAAAACCGTTTATGACTCACTTTTTTCGGTTTTCAAGGAAAATTGATTTTTGTTTTGTACATAATTGATTTTTATTTTGTATATTATTTTTTAAATTTTGAAAAAAATCCATAAAAAACTAAATTTTAAAAATAACTTTTTATACACTCGCAGGCAAAATAATCGATCCACACAAATTTTCGATGAATTTCAATCTCAAATAACTTTTTTATTTGATGTCGGATTTAAACGAATATTAAAGAATATTGTAGATATATTAATGGACAATCGCTCACATTTTAAAAAATTACTAAAAAATAGACGTACGTTTATAATATACAAGTTTAAACAAAAAAATGTTTTTTTACCAAGTTTAAGACACTCTGTAGAGTGGCAAAACCGTATATTGTTCTAAATTATTATTTATCAAGTCACACCTATTCTTAACAGTTTTGTTTTTGGTTCACCTCGATATATTTATTTTTGTGGAAAATATGGATTTTTTTAAAAAACATTGCAATTTCCAATATTTTTTTGTATGAAGAACTAAGGTTGCTATGGTCCATCCATAGGCTATGGAGGATGACAGTGACAGTTTTGTTGAATCATCCCATACTTGGACATGTCATACACGGCTTTCAAAAGCTATCAAATTGTTTTTTGCAAATTAATGTTTAAATTTTGAGGTGTCTTCTTACTTTAAAAAATGAATGATGTTGCCAGAGCTATTAATTTAATCCAGGATGGACGGTCACAGTATTACGTGGCAAGTGTTTTAAACGTCACAAGAAGTAAAGTACAAAGGGCAACATCAGTCGGAGACATTTTTAAAAGTAAGAAGACTCCTCAAAATTAACACATTAATTTACAAAAAACAATTTGATAGCTTTTGAAAGCTGTATATGACATGTCCAAGTGTGGGATGATTCAACAAAACTGTCACTGTCATCCTCCATAGCCTATGGATGGACCATAGCAACCTTAGTTCTTCATACAAAAAAATATTGGAAATTGCAATGTTTTTTAAAAAAATCCATATTTTCCACAAAAATAAATATATCAAGGTGAACCAAAAACAAATCTGTTAAAAATAGATGTGACTTGATAATTAAAACTTAATTTAGAACAATATACGGTTTTGCCACTCTACAGAGTGTCTTAAACTTATGGTAAAAAACATCTTTTTGTTTAAACCTCTATATTATAAACGTACGTGTATTTTTTAGTAATTTTTAAAATGTGAGCGATTCTCCATTAATGTATCTACAATATTCTTTAATATTTGTTTAAATCCGAAATCAAATAAAAAAGTTATTTGCGATTGAAATTCATCGAAAATTTGTGTGGGTCGATTATTTTGCCTGTGAGTGTATTATATTTGTTTATATTTTTTTACAAAAAATAGTATTTTCAATTTAAAAAAATGGTTAGAATCATATGATCATTATTAGCCAGGGCTTAAAATTGGTAAAATTGTCAACAGTTTTTATAGAATTTTTTTTTAAATCTAAACCTGCATTAATAATTAATTTTTATGGATAAAAAGTAAGTCATAAACTTTTTTCACATTTTTGTACATATGTACTTTAAGAGAAAAGTACGTTAAAAAAATGGTATACCTATTACCTATTACTTTAAAAAAAATCCCCTTAATTCGAAAAATTAATTTTGATTATATCTTATAAGCTGGTAAAAAAATTGAAAAAAAAAATAGGTAAGCCCTTTTCAATGAGCCTATAGGCTATAAAATAATAAAAAAATGTCAAGCACTTACAAAATGCCATTTTAAAAATGGTAAAGTAAAACCCTTTTGCCAAAATGTTATAAGTATAGGCAATTTTGAAAATCCATACCTGTTGATTGTTTTAGCTTTTATCGCTTGCAGAGCTTCTACAAGGTATAATAAAAATCGAAATTGACTCCCTTGTAGAAAGATGCCAAAATGCCCCTGGAATTGGAATTTGCTATGTGCTTTTACAAGATCTTTCAGGACCTACTAATCCAAACATATTGCCTGTAATGTTTTATTATATCGATATTTGAATGTTTTAAAATGTTGTTTTACAGCAATTATTACCAATTGCAACGTACACTGGAAACTGTCCTATAACTAAAAAGAATGTAAATCATGCTGGCCAAATAATTAACAGTCAGGGCAAGTTTAGATGGTATGATTATGGTTATTTGGAAAATTTCCGTCGATATGGTACTTCTAGTCCTCCCTACTATGTCACCTCAAACATACCTGTTCATACCACTCTTATTTCTGCCAACAAAGATACCCTCACAACTGAGCCTGTATGGAAAAAATATTTTAGTAGATGTTAATAATTTAGAGATTATTTATAGGATATAGAGGTACTTTATTCCTTACTTTCGGAAACAAAAAGGACATGGTATAAACTACCCGAAAATTCAGATCCAGATATTTTAATGAATCATGCGGATTTTTTAACTGGTGCAGAGGTTCAAAGGCAACAACTTTACTCCAAAATAAACGCTGCTTTGGGGGACGTATAATTTTTTTAAATTTATATTATATCTACATAATTTAAATAAATAAATATAAATATATGATAATTTACTTTCAAAACCCTAACAAAAAATGTATGTCAAATAGACTAAGCTTACCTCTGTAAAAAAGTTGATAATACTTGGGAAAGAGGGTGTCAAAACTGAAAGATCGTTTTTGGTTTTATTAAATATTAAATAAAAAAAAATTATCGATTAGACTGAATTTAAAAATTTACCAAATGGGTCGTTTTTTTAAATTTTTTTGATTTTAATTGTATTTTTCAGAAAAAAATTAAAAAAAAAAATTAAGTTGTATACAATTTTTCAGTTGTTTGTAGAAAAACCTTCAATTTTTTATTTATGAAAAAAATTATCGATTTTGCTGAATTTAAAAATTATGCAAATAGACATTTATTTTTCAGAATTAATACGAGCCCTAACCACATAATGTTCGGACACTTCATAATTTATACAGAAATTTTTTTCGTGAATACTATCTCAAAATTATTAGAAGTTATGAAAAATTCAGCTTATTTTGGCATATACCCCTCGAAGCGATTTTTATTTTTAAAAAGTTTACCTTTTATTTTTAGCTTTTAAAAAAAGGCTAACTTTTTAACTTTTTTTTGCATGAGTAAAAAAAGTTATAAATGGGCCCATTAAAAAGAACATAAAATATTATACAAACCCTGAAAATTTGGTAAAAATTGTATAAATAATAAGAAAGTTATAGCGATATATATATCTGCAAAATCTCCCGTTTCCTAAGAAAATTGCAAAAACTCTTTAAAAATAGCATTTTTAAATTACTTATACTTTTTTATAACTTATTTATTTTTTACCAAATTTTCAGGGTTTGTATAATATTTTATGCTCTTTTTAATGGGTCCATTTATAACTTTTTTTACTCATACAAAAAAAAGTTAAAAAGTTAGCCTTTTTTTAAAAGCTAAAAATAAAAGGTAAACTTTATAAAAATAAAAATCGCTTCGAGGGGTATATGCCAAAATAAGCTGAATTTTTCATAACTTCTAATAATTTTGAGATAGTATTCACGAAAAAAATTTCTGTATAAATTATGAAGTGTCCGAACATTATGTGGTTAGGGCTCGTATAAAAAAAAGTTCTATATAATTTTTCAGTTTTTTTTTTAGAAAAATAATTTTTTATTTATGAAAAAATAATTAAAAAGGCAAAAATTCATGTTTTTTTAAAAAATTTCTTAGAAAACGTTTCATTTAGTCAATTTTTATAAAAGTCATGTATGGCACGCCGTTTTACTTTTTAATCGGATAAAAAATATTAAGTTAAATATTAATACTTTAAAAATAAATTGCACTGAAAAATAATACCTTCAAAATAATACATTAATTAGAATTATACATGTCAAAGAAGTTATTCTTTTTTTAAATATGTTTATATAAGATGTTGAATTATTTATTTAATGTAATTTTTCTGTCTGCAATATTTTTGTGACACATTAATATTTAACTTAATATTTCTTATACAATTAAAAAGTAAAACGGCGTGCCATAATTAATTTTATATCTACGCAAATTTTAATTCTAATAAAAATGATACAATTAATTTTATGTGTACACATAAAATTAATGCACTGAATTTTTATTATGTAATTAAAATTATAACTATACTATAATAAAAATAAAAATTTTAGAATTAATTTTATCTAGATAAAATTATATAATTAATTTTATCTAGATAAAATTAATTCTATAATTTTTATTATGTAAAGTCAAAATTTTAATTGTAACATTAAAATTCATTGCATTAATTTTATCTAGATAAAATTAATTCGGCGCTTTGGAGTGCGGTCGAAAGTGGCAACTGCAGTAGATCATATAGTAGGCACGTTTAATTTATCAAAGTTTGTCTAGTTTGGAGCCAATATGCGAGAGATCTGTTTGTGGTTTTTGTTTTATTGATTGTTGGAACTGTTTGCAAGCCTGCCTGAGCTTATAAATCCTTAAAAATAAGTTTTGTTCAATATAAAACATATACTATGCAAATGAACTACTGCAGTTGCCACTTTAAGCCGAACTACCACAGCGCCGAATTAATTTTATCTAGATAAAATTAATTATATAATTTTATCTAGATAAAATTAATGCAATGAATTTTAATGTTACAATTAAAATTTTGACTTTACATAATAAAAATTATAGAATTAATTTTATCTAGATAAAATTAATTATATAATTTTATCTAGATAAAATTAATGCAATGAATTTTAATGTTACAATTAAAATTTTGACTTTACATAATAAAAATTATAGAATTAATTTTATCTAGATAAAATTAATTATATAATTTTATCTAGATAAAATTAATTATATAATTTTATCTAGATAAAATTAATTCTATAATTTTTATTATGTAAAGTCAAAATTTTAATTGTAACATTAAAATTCATTGCATTAATTTTATGTGTACACATAAAATTAATTGTATCATTTTTATTAGAATTAATTTTATGTGTACAGATAAAATTAATTGTAAAATAAAAATGATTGTCGTGTTATAAATAGGAAATTGCAACTTAAAAAATAATAGATTAAAATAAAATGGTTTAAAAATCTTGTTTACAAAAAAAATTGTTCAACAATGTTTTTAGTCTCACAATAATTCCAATATAAATTTCACAGTATAAAAATAAAGAACCTCATACGAAATAAAAATGGACCAAATTTAAATGATGCAAATATTAATTCAACTAACAAAATTTTTAAAATATTTTTAAACAGTTTACATATTATTTCGTTAGTTGAATTAATATTTGCATCATTTAAATTTGGTCCATTTTTATTTCGTATGAGGTTCTTTATTTTTATACTGTGAAATTTATATTGGAATTATTGTGCGACTAAAAACATTGTTGAACAATTTTTTTGTAAACAAGATTTTTAAACCATTTTATTTTAATCTATTATTTTTTTATTAGAATTAAAATTTGCGTAGATATAAAATTAATTATGGCACGCCGTTTTACTTTTTAATTGTATAAGAAATATTAAGTTAAATATTAATGTGTCACAAAAATATTGCAGACAGAAAAATTACATTAAATAAATAATTCAACATCTTATATAAACATATTTAAAAAAAGAATAACTTCTTTGACATGTATAATTCTAATTAATGTATTATTTTGAAGGTATTATTTTTCAGTGCAATTTATTTTTAAAGTATTAATATTTAACTTAATATTTTTTATCCGATTAAAAAGTAAAACGGCGTGCCATAGTCATGTGTAATTAAAAAAACGGCGTTTTTAAAAATAATTGTTTGGTAAAAAAATTTGAAAAAATTCTGAAAATATTTTTTTTGTGGGTAGAAAAAGATAAAGAAATCAGCCAATTCAAAAGGATTAGGCGTCTGAATTTAAAAATTGACCAAATAGAGTTTTTGATTTTAATGTACTTTTTAGAAAATCCATAAATTTTTTATTTATGAAAAAATTATCGATTTGGCTGAGTTTATAAATTGACCAAATGGGACTTTTTTTGATTTTAAATGTACTTAAAAAAAATGTCCATGTCAAGTTCTTTAAATTCCAACAATTATTAATTATGAAAAAAAATTATCGACTTTTTATTTTTTTGATTTTAATAATTATTGTACTCTTCAAAAAAAATTTTGGATGTCAAGTTTTATATAATCTTTCAGTTTTTTTATATCCGTCAATTTTTTATTTATGAAAGAGAAATTACACCGGTCAACAAAAGAAACAACATTTTTTGCGCATGGGTTTTACTTGATATATTCTGATTATATAAGCAAATATATATAAAAAAGTGCGATTACAAATCTAAAATATTTGCTTTTTAAGAAGTTATAGCGATTTGACCATTTTTGATTTTCGCGCCCAGTTAATGTCCGTCTTTGCGCGCTCTCGCTGTCGAAAGAGAGGTAAGATGGCAGGGGGTAGTGTTTCTTGCGTCTCTGTGGGTAAAAGGCATAAGGGGATAAGTCAAAAAAAGCAATTTTTTAGTAGAGCCTTAAACGTATTCGCATTAATTCAGAAAACATATTTATTGTTAGCGGGTATATCCTTTTGTTAGCCCATGTCATATGCTAACAAAAGCGTATACCCGCTAAACATAAATATATTTCCTGAATTAATGCGAACACGTTAAAGGCTCTATTGAAAAATTGCTTTTTTTGACTTATCCCCTTATGCCTTTTACCCACAGGTCTTTCGTTGTGTACGACAGTATGTGTTTGCATATTACAGAGGAATAACGCGTTTCATTTGTTTTCGCTGTGTCTACCTGTACAAAATGGCTTCGAGAAGTTGTAAACGAGACGCTGACTCGTTTTGCTATATTTGCGGCGAATTTATTAAAGTTAGAGAGAAAAAGTATGATTTAAGTACAAAGATTTGCGAGGCATATCAAGCTTACTTCCATCTACATATTAAAAATCAAGATTGGGTCTTATTAAACAATTTGTAAAGGGTCTTAATGAAGAGTCCGAAGCTTTCAAATATTTGAAGAGTTTTTTCCAAAGCTTTCAGAGGCCAAAATTAAAGCTGGAATCTTTGTAGGCCCTCAAATAAAAAAAAATATGGATTGTGATATTTTCCCGCAGTTACTTAGCAATGAGGAGAAAAAAGCCTGGAACAGTTTTAAGGCAGTTATTCATTGTTTTCTTGGAAACCATAGAGCTGAAAATTATGAAGAGCTGATCACTGACATGATTACGAATTTTTCCATCATCGGATGTAGAATGTCTCTAAAGATGCACATGTTACATTCTCATTTGGATAAATTTAAAGATAATATGGGGGCTTATTCGGAAGAACAAGGGGAACGCTTCCATCAAGATATAATGGAATTTGAGAGGCGTTACCAAGGCCAGTATACTGAAAGCATGATGGGGGACTATATTTGGGGGTTAATAAGAGAAACTTCTACTGAACATGACAGGAAAAGTAAAACTGTTCATTTTTAAGTATTTGGACTCTATTTTAAAACTTCTATTGTAAGAATGAATCATAAATGGATGTTCGGTATCTTTTAATGAATCATCTTTATGTCCACTTTTTATGTATTTTCATTG